TGCACAACACAAAATTCATTTTGCTCATGTGAGGAAACTCTTAGGCTATGTCTACACTGGTTGTTTCTTGCGCAAGAACACATCCACTCTTCCATGTGCGAGCTGTGCTTTTGCACAAGAGCATCTATGGCAGTGTGGACACTCTCTTGCCCAAGAAAGTGCGGATGGCCATTTTAGCCATAGAGCTTTCTTGCTCAAGAAATTCATGTTGCCTATCTACATTGGCCTCTTGCGCAAGAATAGTTGCTCAAAAGGGCTTATTGCAGGTTGCGCAAGAACACATCCACTCTTCCATGTGCGAGCTGTGCTTTTGCACAAGAGCATCTATGGCAGTGTGGACACTCTCTTGCCCAAGAAAGTGCGGATGGCCATTTTAGCCATAGAGCTTTCTTGCTCAAGAAATTCATGTTGCCTATCTACATTGGCCTCTTGCGCAAGAATAGTTGCTCAAAAGGGCTTATTGCAGGACGGGAGCATCGTAGTTCTTGCGCAAGAAGCCCTGATTTCATACATGAGACCGTTAGTGTACTTGTGCAAGAACACATGGCCAGTGTAGACAGGCAGCACATTTTTGCGCAAGAGCGGCTGCTTTGGCGCAAGATCGTGCCAGTGTAGACACAGCCAAGGGGAGGGAGGAAGACCACTGGCTCAGCATGTCTACATGGTTTGGGGGAAGGTGCAGGGAAATTGAGCTCAGCTGGGTTGCAGAGTGGGGAGGTCTGGGGAGCTGGGCTGGGCAGTGGGGTGGGGTGTGTGTGTGTGGAGCTCAGAGCTCAGTTTGACTGCAGGAGGAGGGAGGTGCCGGGAACCGGGGCTAGACTCAAGGGGAGGGAGGGACAGGGAATCGGCTCTTGGCTCAGCAGTTTTGTGGGGGTTGGAGGGAAATGGGGAGGAGGCATGCAGGGAACCAGTGCAGGGCTCAGCTGGGCTGAGGTGGATGGGGGAGGGCATACAGAACAGACGGGCAGCTCAGTTGGGCTGTGAGGGGCAGCAGGGAACTGGTGCTGCACTCCCTTGGATTGTGAGGGATGGTTTTGGGGGAAGTGCAGGGAACCAGCAGGGGTGGGCAGCTTAGTTTGGTTGCAGGGGATAGAGGTGCAAAGAAGCCTAGTGGGGAAGGGGGGAGACCAGGAGCCCTGAAATGACCTCCCCTGGTCCAAAAATTCCTCATCTGGGACCAGTCAGGTCTAGAGGGTGCCAGATCAGGGAGGTCCAACTCCTACCCAAGTCCCCTCCTCGCACCCTCCCT